GCGGAGGGCGGCGCGCCGCGGTCCTAGCGCACGCCGGCTTCGTGCACTGCGGGGCGTGGGGAGCGCCCCGCCCCGGGCCGGCGACGCCGCGAGGGAGCCCTAGGAGCCCGCCGCCCGGCACGCCTCGCCCCTTTGGCACCCCAGCCGGGTCTGGGAAGAAGCAGATGGCAGCGAAAGTTGGGGTGTGGATAGGAGCAACCACCCTCCCGAGGTTCCACGCCCGCGCCCACCCCCGGCCCGGCCCACATCCTCGCAATTCTCTGGAGGGAAACCCCGTGGGACAGTGAGGGAGCAGGGATAAAACCGGGTTTCAATGCGTTGGGGTGGTTTGCCCGCTTCAGGGAAAGCTCCTATCCTCTCGCCCCAGCATCCCACTGAGATGGACACACCCGAGGACTCCCAAGGGGCAGCAAAACCCCGGGTTGAAGGGCACAACCTCGGGAAGGGGAGCGCGCGCTGCAGGTTCACTCACAGGCCCATATGGCTGCAATTCAGATACTGGAGAACGCTGTGCAGGTGGTCCACACCACGGCGGGGGCGTGGGGCGGGTCCAGAGTTCAGAGGGCTGGAGGGCTGGGCTGGGCAGGGCTGGGCAGGCACAGGTGTGTGCGAGACCCCGCCCAGCCCTGCTTCCAGCTTAACACGATTCCTTCTTAAAACCGGGATAAGTAAAAGCACTACCAGAGGGCTGGCAGGGACCCAAGGTGACAGACTGGTGGCCTCTGTGGAACCACGTCTGTCCTAAAAGCAAGGAGCTGACCGCTCAGAGGTCACCCGGCCAGGGCAGAGCTTCCAGGTCAAGACTTTCTGGTTGTAAAAGCCAAGCTGGCTGGGCTCTGCAGGGCTTGGTGACGGGGCTAGGGACTGTCGCATATTCCGTCTGATTCCCTCTGCCCTGAGCCCCAGGCTCAGTGACAAGTGCTGGGGTGGGAGACTTGGGTGGGCTCCCTCTCATCAGTGTCACTAGACACCGGAAGTGGGCTGCTAAAAACTGCCATCCATTCCTGCAGACCGCAGCCCCAAGCCCAGGGTCACAGTCCTTTCTGGGGCAGGGGATCCCTTTAAAAGCCACCAGGGGGCTCCTGAAACTGCCAGAGCAAGGAAACCAGCCTCCCCCCCCACACACACACACACACTCCCCAGGTTCCCATTTCCCCTGTATTTAAAGTACCTTTGGGGGACCAGCGGATGGTCTAATGGTTACGTCACTGGACTCGCATGTGGTTGACCGTAGTTTGAGTACTGGACCTGGTGGCTCAAAACTCACACTGGGCATGCATACGTGTGTCCAAAATCCTGAGAGGAGAAGGCAAGAGAAGGGACTGCGGCGTGACCATTCCTCCCGGGGAGTGATTGCCCGCTTTCTGTCTCGCTCTCTCTCTCTGGCGAGCACATGCACCCTATAGCAAATCTCTCTCTCTCAAAAAAAAAAAAAAGTACCTTTGTTCTGCTCAGACCAGGAAATGTTGGCTTCAGGGCGTCAGCTGGTCTGAGCGGGCTGGACAGCTGCCCTGGAGTCTGTGTTTCGTGTGAGGATTCTGGAGAGCCTGCGCTGGCCCTTAGTCAGGAAAGGGGTCCTGGAGCACCCCACCCCCATCCCTCGAGCCACTCATTACAGCTACTGGGAACAGTTTTAGTCCAACTTAAAATAATCGGTTTGCGGGATTTTGTTACGGGAAAACTCTTCGAGGACTAAATGAGGGGGCTTTGTGCTGGGGAGGCGAGGTCACATGGTCTGGTCTATGCCCCTTACCAGCTGGGCACGGATGCTCCCCGAGCTGGAGACAGTGAAGGTGGTGGAGACAGAAGCCGGGACAGTGAGAGGAGGGCATGGCTTCTCTCTTCACCCTGGGGGGAGCCCAGTACAAAGGGTAAAGGGAGCTGGACTTTATCGGCTCACTTGTCTACACTACCCACCGGTCGCAGTTAGGTCCTGGACAAGCCCTTGCACGTGTGTCCCTTCTGTCTGGAATGCCCTCCCCCACTCCTTACGGCCAGGCATCCTCTTCGGCTCTCAGTGTAAACGTCAACCCCTCACGGGTCCTCATCCACTCTTCCGGGCCTGCTACCAGGTGGGCCACCAACACGGAGCCGGGGGAGGAAGGCTTGGTTCTGATGACCCGGGTGGTGTACTCCTGGGTGCAGTACTTAACAGCAGGAGGTGGGAAACCGAGGCCTGGTGTCGCGTTCTTTGTTCATGTACTCGGCGCGCAGTTATGGAGGGCCTGCTGTGGTCAGGGCCCTGGCTGGGGCCTGGAGCTACGACCAGAAGTAAGATGCTGCTTGTGCCCCTCTGGAGCTCCTGGTGGGGTGGAGACAGACGCACAGGCAATGACGAAGAAGCGGGAAGAACAAGAGCTGGCGGGCAGGTGCTAACAGGGAGCTGGAATGTTCAAACCAGAATGGCCCCTGGAGAGCTTTGTCATCCCTGAGTGTCCCCAACTGTGGTCCCAAAGGGACATGCCTAAGCCCAACGCTGGGTGGACATATGCCTCCGGAGGCTGTGCGGGCCTTTGCGGTGGCACCCACCCTCCGCCTGGGCTCTGCCCTCCTTCCTTGGCAGTGAGGCGCACGCCATGGGGCTCTGCACACAAAGCCGCTGCCACCTGTCCGGACGTCACGGCTTCCATTCAGCCTCCCAATGACTCTTAATCGTCAACGGAGAAAGAAGGTCTGGAGCTTCGCATGGGATCTGGCCGGGGCTGATTGGATTTGCGTCTGGAGCCCTGGAAGTGGGGCACCCCGTGGGGCAATCTTTATCCTCCCATAATGCAGCATGCCCTTCCGTGGGTGGGACGCACTTTAGTCACCAGGCAACTGCCTCTTTTCTCCCGGAGGCCCTCCCCCCCAGGAGCTGATGAAAAGCGATGGCCGTGATGCGAATGGCTGGTGCTGGGGAGCCACAAGGACAGCTGGGCCCAGAGACAGCACATTACACATGAACCAATCTGCATTTAGCCCTCACGGCACCCTATGGGGCACTATTGTTATTGCCAATGTACGAATGGGGAAACTGAGGCTTATTTTTTTTTGTCTTTTTGGTTATCTGGGTACTTTATTTTTTGAATTTTTTTTTGCTATAGGATGCATGCACTCTCCGGAGAGACAGAGAGACAGAAAGCGAGAAATGACCCCCCCCCAAGGGGGGATGGCCATGCTGCAATTCCTTCTCCTTCATTCTCCTCTTGGGATTTTGGGCATGCACGCACACATGCCTGGTGTGAGTTGAAGCTGCCAGGTCCAGGATTCAAGCTGTGGTTGACCATGTGGGAATCTAGCGATGTAATCTGGTTACCTTTCTAATATAATTATTGATTTTATTTATTATTATTCTTTAACTTGCTAGAGGGCACATGCGTTCATCAGAGAGAGAGGCAGAGAGAGAGAGAAAATGAGAAAGCAAGCTGTCAGGTCCAGGACTCAGACCACATTCGTCCACGTGAGTCCAGCGCCTTAACCAACCATGCCACCTGCCAGCCCCTGTCTGGTTACCTGTTAAATAATCGTGCTTCCCCAAGGCACCCTGATCCCTCAGCTGAGGCTGTGTGGCAGCGTGCTGGGGAGCCAGCCTCGGCCCCGGGTGGA